CCCTGATCTCCTTCTACATTTTACACAGTAGCCTAATCACCTTTTGGGAGAATGTTGGTGGTGTCATGTAGATGTGCAGCAAGGTTTTGGAATTTTGATTTTGCCCTGGGGGTTCAAATGGGGGTCGAAAAATGACTTTTTTTATGCAAAAAGCCCCGTCTTCCCTGATCTCCTTCTATATTTTACACAGTAGCCTAATCATCTTTTGGGAGATGGTTGGTGGTGTCAAGTAGATGTGTAGTTAGGTTTTGGAATTCTGATTTTGCCCCAGGGGATCAAATGGGGGTCGAAAAATGATGTTTTTTATGCAAAAAGCCCTGTCTTCCCTGATCTCCTTCTACATTTTACACAGTAGCCTAATCATCTTTTGGGAGATGGTTGGTGGTGTAAGGTAGGTGTCCAGTAAGGTTTCGGAATTTCTATTTTGCCCTGGGGGTCAAATGGGGGTCGAAAAATGACGTTTTTTATGCAAAAAGTCCCGTCTTTCCTGAACTCCTCCTTAATGCTACTCAGAAGCCTAATCATCTTTTAGGAGAGTTAAATATTTTGAAAATTATGTAAAACATCAACGTTAAAGGGTAAAAAAGCATCGCATGCTGGGAAACACCTTGAATTTTTATGAGTAATTAATGTACATGTCAAATGTGAGAGTCATATCTCATCTCAATCAAAAGTTATAAGCAAATGCAACATTTTTAAAAAGTAGGTTAGGCTTCAAGTTCAAGGTCACAGAGTAAAAGTCATGATTCATTTGGAAAGGTCTTATCACAGGTAATAATATACATGCATTATAATATGAATGCCCTAACTTTTCTCTTTCAAAATGATGAATTTATAACAATTTAATTTTTTTGCAAGTAGGTCAAACTTCTAGGTCATATGTAAAAAAAAAAAGCCATGCCATTCTCACAGGTAAATACTAGTACATAAGTTTAATATGAATGCCTTGTCTCTTCTCATTCAGTAGATATGACCGTGATGACCAAGATTAATTTTATTCAGACAGAAGAACAGTCTGACATACAAATGTACATATTTCTATATGAATTGCGTGGGTAAAATTGGCCCAGTTGTATAGAGAATTTAAAATGTAAAAAGTTTTCAGACAAACAGATGGACGACATGTCACGACAGACGTTATATGATAAGGAAACCAGAAAAGCTCAAATGAGTGTTTTGAAAGGGTTACAATATTGTTGCAGTATTTGAAAAGCTGTTTTTTTTCATGCAGAGATATGCATGACCAACATATTCATGTTTTATATTTTCTTTAGTAATTTGTTTGTTTGCTGTGAATACATCTCTCTCGGGAATTTTTCCCTCATATGGAGACACCACCAAATAATAATGAAGACAAGATGTGTTTGTGAAACACTGATGTCCCTGTATGGAAGCCTATGGCGAAGGTTGAAGTTTCTCAAATATATGTCAAACTCAAAGGTCAAGGTCAAAGGGTTCAAATTGTTGGTATCAGAAAAAAGTCTTGTCACAACGAATGCACATGTAAAATAAGTAATCCCTAGTACTTCCTGTTCGAAAGTTAATTGCCAAGGTTAATTTTTTAAGTGGTTCAAACTCTAGGGTCAAGGTCAAACATATCTATACCTGTTGACAGTTCACAATGAATACACATGTTAAGCATGAAAACCCTGGCACCTACTGATCAAAATTTAGGCCAAGTTTAAAGTTGGGTATTTTTCTTGTAAAAATGTGTATCCTAGGTCAAGCGATCAGAGGTAAAAATTAATGGTACCCAAATAAAAGGTCTTAATTGTCACAAGAAATAAACCTATAAAATGTGGAAGCCATTTGTATAGCCCATCCCACTTAAAACTTATGGGCAAGGTTATAATTTCTGCAGACAAATAGACAGACATAATATAAACACAAGAAACAAAATATGTATAATTAGTCAAATGGAAAAAAATATACTATTTAATACGTTATATCGCGACCACCAATGTGTACCTCGCAGTTATCTAACTTACTACCGCTCTTTTGCAGGGAAGTCAAAAAAAGTCTTAACTTCTGGGGGCAAATGACATTGTTTACAGTAGTGACAATCGAATGATTCGAACAATTTAATGCCGAAATCACGATGTTTTGCCAGATATTGAAATCCAAATAGTAGATTTTCAAATAAGGAAAGTTTAAGAATATTTTTAGAATATTTTATCTGCTTAAAAATGTGACGATTTTCAATGAAAATTTAACGAGAAGAGTCCGCTTAATTAAAAATGTCGTTAAAAATGTGACAATTTAGGATTGGCTCCTCTCAGAAATATATTAGACTGGTTCAGCGATTGTTTAGTGAGGTATTCCACCAGGATTTTTTACTTATCTGTCCTTATAAATGCTACAATGATCGATCTTGCTTTGTATTGAATATCAAATTGCCCCCACCCAACAGACGATTCCTACCTCGTTCGCGAAAGAGTTCCGCTAAGTTAAGTAATCGCGATATCAAGTATTGGAATCACAAAATAGATTGTTATTTCAGGGACAGGGAGTGGGTAGGGAGATTGGAACCCCCGCCCCCCCCCCCCCCCCTTGGAATTTGCTTTGTTATTTAAACAAGACTATATTGTGACGTCACCTATTTTCGATAGTATCCTAATTTCGATAGGCTTATACTTTTAACAATAAATCAGAAAACCTTTCGTAATTTTTTGGAACTCTTATCCCAAAATTATCACCAGATGTAAAAATTGTAATAGAGCCAAAAAGATAGAAAATTATGTCATTTAGAGATGTAAGATTCTATTTTGATTTCAAATCGCGCCCTTTTCTCATAATGCCAAAAAATTCACTTTAAAACTCTATCTCCTAAGCCTGAAAACAACATTTGATGTTTAAATGTTATCGTCTGTTAAAAAGTTCTGTGTTATGGCTTAAAAATAGATAAGCCTCAGCTTGGGCAAACTTCCGCTTAAAAAAATGAAGTATGGAAACCTGTTACGGGTATCTTATTTTAAATTTTGACAGCTTTTAATGTTTTAAGTTTGGTTTCTGTTGATTTATTGTTCGTTTTTTGTAGATATTTTCCATCAAAAGGGGAAATAACAAGAATAATTTAAGGCCAAAGGCTGTGGATAATGCTTTCCTAGCTGACAATGGCTCCTGGCTTGAAATTTCAATTTTATAAAATTTCAACCAAATAATAAAATAAAATTAATGTTATAATTAAGTATATTTTATTTGTTGTTAAGATTATAGTTGAAAACAGGGCCAATAAATCCAATACCAGAAAAAATTACAAAAAACAAATAAAAGAAAACAAAAACTCACACAAAATAACATAATTCGATGTTTTAATGACAATAACTGTGCGCCATACTTGCTATCGAAAATAGGTGAAGTCATTCAAAAACAACTGGGATTATGACGGATCCAACGAAAGTTGAAACAGTACTGAAATTTTTGATTTCAAAAACAAATAAATGTCTGAATATATTTATTTACTGTTGACTAATAATACATAAATAATTGAGGTGAGAAAAACATAGATGCCTAGATTAAATTTTTAACTAAAGTTTTACACTATCGAAAACCGGTAACGCCAGGATATACTGAAGCAAATAAAAAATATCTTTGGACATCCTCCCCTAACTTAGAAAACATTGACCCCACTATCATTGTATTTATTTTGTTTATTTGTTTTCAGTTTATGAGTTTTTTTTTTCTCCTGCTTGTCAGGAAATTCTGGGCTGGAATTTTTTGACTGAGATGTGAACTCCCCTCCCTACTCCCGAAAAAAAATTCTGGATCCACACCAGTATTGGCAGTAACTGAATGTCACATCAACAACGGGAGATAACTTCACAACATGAAATTCGTCTAGTGTGGCATGCGATGATCTTTGACCCTTTTTGAAATTTAACCTAATCGTTTGGGTTTATTTTACCCCCCACTATACTTAAACTTGTACTTACTGACCTCCATAGGTCTTGTCAACTTCATAAAATATAAATCCAATTATAACACAAAATGAATTAATCCAATGCACACCACACTGCAGCATGTTCTAATGTAGCCTGGTTCCCTGTCCCTGTTTTGCTTCGTATACTTGGTGTCACTCCTGCCTTGGTAAGGATGAGCCAGGGGACCAGGCTAGTTCTAATGCTATTCCATTCGGAAAACCTTCGTGCCGTCGATTCCGTCACCTTATCAGATGAAATGGGAATCGGCCGAGGTGTACCGAATGGAGTTTAATCTAAAAATATGATAATGGGTGACGCAACGTGATGTGATGTAGAATTTACATGTGAAGAACAAATTTTAAATTAATTCATAACAAACAATGTTTTAAAAAAACTGTTCCATCTAGCCTATTCCCAAAAGTATGTACTGTGTGATTGTGGTGTCGAGGGGGGGGGGGGATTAGTAAATTTAAAAAGGTCCTATTATGAGCAAAACATTTATCAAAATCTAATTTACATCATTAATAGAATGCCCCTCCCCCACTTTTTTTCCCAACATTACCTGTACTATAAGAAAATGTCCATTGAAAAGATGGTTGTCCCCCCCCACTTTTTACCACAGTATATACATAGCAAGGAAATATGGGAAAAAATTGGAAGTGAAAGTAATTTTGCCTTGAAAAAAAGGTGGCCACTACCCCCCCCCCCCATTTCATTTTTTTTTTTTATTTGCTTGTTCATTTTTTTAAGGTAAGTATAAAAAATTTTCTCAGGTTGGCCCCCCCCCCCCACTTTCAAAAACGATGCTACGTGCCTGAATTATATAGAATTATTTTGACTTTTTCCTTGCAAGTCGCCGCCCGTAGGATTGTGTATTTAGAGGCAAACACCTTAGTGCGGGTATTACTGTCTCACGACAGCATCTAGTTAAAACTTGTTTACATTTCTAATCCTCTTTTTGAAATTAATTCACTAGTACTATTGTCTAGTTCTTTCTTGTAGAAGTGATGTTCATGCATGCACTGATTAGAACTTGATATGTGCAAAATAACTTAAGGAAAAATAAAACCCTTCTTATACCCTGAGATTCGGAAACTTATTTTCTTTTGGAACATCCTCATTGTCCTCCGACTTTATTGAGTCTTCCCCGTTATCATCCGGTTTTCCGACATAACTTGAACCAAGGTTCTGATTTCCAAAGCGTGTTTCACTTGTTGGGTTAAAAGATGAAGAACTCTAAAATAATAAAAGTAATGTTCAAAACCCTCCTTTTTAAAATCTATCTGTCTAGGCATTGATAAGAAAAAACTACTTAAGTTTATAGATCAACACAAATTATTATTTTTTAAGTTAGCTAGTTTAGATGAATTTAATGCAAACCTTTATAATTCCTTCAGATTTTGCTGACATTTTTATTCATTAAAATAATGAACATTTGAACATTCACTCTGAAATATCCAAAACACTGTTTTCTATTGAACATTAAATCCTTTCAGAAATAGGACTCCAATGGTTAATTTTTGCTGAAAGCCTTCAAGGTCTTTTTCTAGACCAGTTGTAAACCAGGAAGAAAATTGAAGAATATTTCAAAACATTTTTCTTCTTTTCATTGTTAGTAAACCCAAAGATTTTTGAAATTGAAAAAGAATCATTACACACTGCACAACTTCTTAACACAGAACACTAAAGAGTCTGTCATTGGGGAGAGGGGATTTAAATACTATTCATACATTGAAAATTCACTGCAATTAAGTCAATGTTTGACATAGCTTCAGTTTTGTTGACAATCATTTTGTTAGCTAGTGGCTGCTAGAATTTTCATAAATATACTGTTCAGCAGATGATCTGGGAAGTCATCAGGCCAATACTGAGCAAACATAAAAACTCCTCAAGAGAATACACAACTAAAACTTCAAACCTGATCCCTGTCTCTAATAATCTGTATTAAAGAACAATAATTTTTGTAGTGATCATCTTTGTTGACAAAGGCCAGCACTGTGAGCAGGCAGACTGATGGTTGATAAATATTTGGTCAAGCTTGCATTCTTAGTACTTTCTTAATGTTGTACAATATGTGTACATAAATTGGCATGTTCAAAATTTAGCGCAATCACTGGGAATGGAATATTGGTGTAATCATGAATTAGTGCTTATACACAGGTCCAAGCTGTGTATGTATTTATAAATGATTTGTAGGGAGAATTCATGCATTGTCAGCTAGTGCCAAAACTGCGAAAATATGACCACAATTAGTTTGAAACAGGATCATGGTAGACCCTTAGATTTGATATCTACCATTGTAAATAAAGTTTGAATTCTTTAAATTAAAAGTTTTTTGACTTGTTGGCAAATACTGGACAATTCTTTTTTAAAAAGCTTGCTCTCTTCACAGATGTGCTGGCTTGCTACATTGAAGTACAGAACATTATGTTATAACTCACTGGCCCAGTTTCCTCTGCCTTCTCTTCTGCTTTATTCTTTCTTTCCTCCATTTCCCTCTTTCTTTCCTCCCTTTCCTTTTCCTTTCTTTCTCTCTCTTCCTGCTCCCTTCTCAGTCTCTCCTTCCTCTTGATCTCTGTGATCTTCTTCATTCCACTGGCTATCACTGCTATGGCCTGCTTCTGCCTGATGTAATGGATCTTCTCCATGTGTGTATTCACACTGTCCTTCATGAAGACCTGAGGATAAAAAAACAACTATCTAGTAAGTTCTGTTACTTTTTGCATTTTGTTGTTAAATTCTTGCACTAGCTTAAAATTAAGACAGAAAATTTAGATATTTTTATAGTGTACCCCTCGCTTGAATTGTGAAAAGCAGAGGTATATCATGATTTGGGTGTCCATCTGTCTGTCTGTTATGCTTTCCAGAGCAAAACATGGACTTTGCTATTATAAACGATATGGGAGGTGATGGGGTATCTTTTAGCTGAGACTGCTCACAGTACCTCTAGTTTAATTTGAAATCTCAATTATGAAACAAAGAGAACTGATTTGCTTTATAACACTTAATAAAGTCAGTGAATGTTCAAAGTAGACCTGATAATTACCTTGTACTTCCCTATGCGGTACTGGTCTCTTAGATCAGGGGGCAGAATAGAGTCCAGTATGGATTTAATGGTATCTTCTCTCTTGTCAGATACTTTGATGGAAAACAATGGTTTGTATCTAAAAAAAAAAAGAAGTATAATGCATTTAAAATTTTTGACAGTACAGTGTAAATAAATTGTACAATTTACATTTTGCAAATACTTTTTGACCCATTTTAAATTCATCCAAACTTAGTTGCCTTGAAAGACTTAAAGATAACCCTGTCTTTAATTGTTAAATTTTATTTCAATTTAAATTAAATACACTTGCATTCTTACGAGGGTAAGGTGACATGCTAGTAAATAAAACAGACTAAGGGGAAAAAATCCTGCATAAAGTATTTTCTTGGTAATGAGAACATAATTCTAATTTTCTGTTTGCCTTTGTACAACAAATGTTAATCTTATTTGCAGACCTTTTGATGAAATCATCCATAGAGATCCTTGCAGAATACCCATCCTTCCTTATTCTAGATATCTCTGAGATTCCATTGTACTTTAGCTGGTCTCGCACCATGACTTCATTGAAGGTGTCTGATGCCATGCTGGTGTTTGGTTTGATACACCTGTGTTACAAACCCAAGATTAAATATAATCAATCCAAAAGAAATCTACATAATGTTCCTAGTATTTCACTTTATTCTAAATTAGTTATGAAGACGTAAACATAATTCTAACCTCACAAAATATGGATCTGCCTGTCTCATCTTTTGCAATAGCTGAGAAACTGATTTCTGAAGAGTGAATAAAAGCACTTGTACATTTTTTTTCAAAGGTATTAATGTAATTCATGTAAGTTTTTTATCTTTAACACTAGAAATATGTCCATAGGACATGAATGCCCCGCCGAGGATATATTAGTAAAGCAACATGAAAATTTGTATGTGTATAAAATTTGATCAGAATATCTTGAATAGTGATGCAGCTGAATTGCTTGTTTGGAAAATATAGGTCAGATCCAGCATCCGAAGCAAGTCTGGTAGTGTCCATCCCTAGATGCATCATCCATGCAAGTTTGGATCAGGTAGGGCTTATAGTTACTTGGGAATGAAAATAAAGGTCAAATCCAGCATCTGAAGCAAGTCTGGTAGTGTCCATCCCTAGATGCATCATCAGTGCAAGTTTGGTCCAAGTAGGGCTTATAGTTCCTTAGGAATGAACCTGCTCCAAAAACTTTAACCTGGTCACCCATCTGGAAAATGTAGGTCAGATCCAGCATCCTCAGCAAGTCTGGTAGTGTTCATCCCTAGATGCATCATCCGTGCAAGTTTGGTTTGGGTAGGGCTTATAGTTCCTTGGAAATGGACCTGTTCCAAAAACTTTAACCTGGTCACTCATCTGGAAAATGTGCCGGTAGGTCAGATCCAGCATCCGAAGCAAGTCTGGTAGTGTTCATCCAGAGATGCATCATCCGTGCAAGTTTGTATCAACATGTGAAGTTTGATAACACCATCTTGAATGGTATGTTTAAAACTGAGCTAAACACTAATTTGAGAAAAGTGAGGTCAAGGTCAAAGGAAAGGTCAAGGTCATAAAATGTTGATGCAGTTGCATAGCTCTCATCAATATCTATCTGCATATGAAGTTTGATGAAAATATCTTGGATAGTTTCTTTGAAACTTAGCTTTTAACAGAGCTAAACGCAAAGTGTGATGGAATGGAGGGAAGGATGAAAGATGGACATGACAAACACTATATGCCCCGGCCATATTCATGGCGGGGCATAACAAAACCATTTCATATCTTGACTGTTAAGAGGAATTTCCATTATTTTTACCTGAAAGTAACTCATCACTGTTTTGTGGTCTTTTGGCATATAGATGAGTTCCGTTGGTTTACCGACCTTCCCATATCTATAAGGTGATTGAAAAGAAGGATGTATAGAACAATACTTAAAAATTTTTTTGGCAAAAGCATCACTTTATAAATGCCTCCCCCTTCTTACTTGTCCTTGAGGGTGCTTCCCAGATCAGCAGCCAGCATCCTCCCCCTGTCTGTCTTTGGTCTGATGGAGGCTCCCAGGCCTGGTACTTTCCTGGACATCCTTATATTGGCCATGGTACTGAAATCAAAATAATTTCATTTATTACTAAATGATAGTACACAATTATGGACTTTAGTGTAAGTTGATTTTGGTTTACTGGTTACAAGGACCCATGTCAAGTGATATTGACCAGAGACAAAAATGATACTGTAAACCAATTATCATTTAAGACAACTTTTATTCACAATTAGTCAGCTCGAATTCTATCAATAATGACTTATAGGAAACATTCGACATAAATACACAATGAAAAAAATAAATGCAACTAGAAGTATTTGTGACAAACATAAAATCGCTAAATTCAGGTATATTTTTCGCTGGCATGCTTGTCAATAAAACTTTAAGTAATAGCGGTGAAGATTAAGGCATTAAGAGTCCTCTTAGATTGTATGCAACTGTTTACTATTTACTCAGTATTACTTACTTAGATATCGTTCCAGTGTCTCCTTTCTTGATGGTAAACAAGTCTGCAATGCAATCGTCTGTGCTTTGCTTCATCACCTTTTCCAGATCCTTGTTCAAACTGTCTCGGTTCTTCTCCAGTATGTTGTTACAGTTGTACCACACCTACAAGCATAAATATTTGTAAAGGTATCTAATAATATTAAACTGTACATCATATTAGAATTTATTTTTTAAATGGTTCATTGCGGAGAAAATTTGTATACCAGCACGGAGACTATACATCTTAGATGTCAGCAGAGCTTACTTTTGATCTCAGTCTCACTGTTCCACAATTAAGGTATGTATAGACAATTGCTTGTATTTTCAATGCATAGAAAATATCTCAAGAGTGCATGTTAACATCAAATGCAGTGTTCAACTGAGTTATGTACTTGATTATTCATATAGAAAATTACAATCAAATCACCCTCAAACTGTAGAAGGGGTAGCATTTTGTAAAACTAGATAGACCTACAGAAAAACAAAGAATAGGCTTTGGACATTTTACCATCAAATAAGCTAGCTCTTCTAAACTTTGACCAGAAATGCTAATGAAAATGAACTTACCACCCCTGCAAAATGTTTGACACCGAATTCTGCCCTTTCACCCCTTGGGAACGTGAGGAGGTTGTGTAAAGCATGACTTTTGTTGAAAGTTTTTTTCAGTCTCTCCACAAACTTCAGATCAGTACCCTGAGCAAACTTGGATTCCTCATCAAGACACGGCCAAATCCCAATTGTCTGCAATAAGTAAAGAATAAAATGTTGTATTTTCAAAAAATGAGTAAAATGTTCCATTGGTGTTTGAAGAACAATGTGAATATATATTACTTTTATTCTAAAAAGGTAATTTGGTCCAAGAAGAATATGAAAAAGGAAAAGAAAAGAACAAGAAGAAAACTGACAAAATCAATGTCTACCCTTTGACAGGGAGGCATATTATATAAATACATGTACCAGTTATCAAGCCATTCTTGACTGGTAAAATACTTGATTTTACGATTTTACAAAATCTCTCTAACATTGTATAAAAATATTTCAAAAATGTGTTGGTTTTAAGGATAAAACTTAAAGTACATGTACTTAAAATAGTAAACCAGAGCTATGAAATATGTTGTATATGATACGTACCGAAAGTTCAAATAACTGTATAACATCCAGGTTGTCCTTGAACTCCACTTTATCCTGAGGTATTCCTTCAGAGTCATAGATCTGTTTTTCTTGAATGATCACAACTTTGTTCATGAAGTTTTGCAACCTTTCATTCACAACGTTAATGCACATTTGCTCAAAACTATTTGTCTTGAGCTTCTCAAAACCTGCAATGTCTAGAACACCAATCTCTGTGGTTTCCTTCCTTGCTCTGTAACAAAATTCAGCATTTTCTAATTTTTAAAATGAAATTTTTTTTCAATTTAAATATATATATATATATATACTGGTCTTATCAAAATATCTAGAATGAAAGAATCCAGGCAAAGTCTTTTAAAAAAAATTCTTTATAGGGGTTTGAAATTTGACTTGCCTGAAAATTATTCTATTGCTTAAGATAACATTCGCTACATGACCGTTTCTATGTAATCCTTTGCCACTGGTCATTATGGAAAGAGCATATATTATAGTTTAACCAACTTTAAAATACATAAAACAATTTACTCTTTCTTGCGAGGGTGCAGATTGTTGTTGATTTTCTTCACAATCCACCCAAACAGTCTCTCGTACATGTGTTTAGCGAGGGCGTCTCGGCCATCTCTAGCTTGGTCCAAACTCTTAAATACTTTAATTTCTTCACCTGTTTCAAATAAAAAATGAATATTTTATTGATAACCTTAAATTGAATTATAAGTAACTATAAATAACAAATTCAGCTGAAGTACATTGCATGTAAATACATGTATTACATGAGCTTTACAGGTTTTTTTTTTATGTTTTTCTTCATTTAAGTACATTTTAAGTAATCAGTATACATTTAAGCAAACTCATGTGATATTAATTCCATGTTTACAAAACTTTTGAACATTTTGAAATCAGTTTCATTTGGTAAAATGGAAACTGCAGTTTTGTAGAAATTTTACTATGTACATGTAGTACATATTGACTGACAGTATTTACTTTCCATAGAAATTATAAAGTTAAATGTCAAACTCAATACTATTGAAGAAAACGTGTGAAGGTTGAAATGGCTGCATATGTAGTACTGATCAAAAACAGCATTGAAAAAATATTAAAAAACGATTCCAGTAAATAAGCAAAATCCATTTGGTATTTTGTTTGCTGAAACACTAATATACTAATTAAATAAGTACCTTTGTACAACTGCAAATCATTGATTTTAATCCAAGCAAATAAAAATGCATTTTCTTATTTGTTTAAAGCACACACTTTTCCTACTGTGTGAAAAATCTGGATTTTTTTCTAAATAAGCAAATTCAAAAGAAAATCACAATAGCCATGAAAGCTGATTAATTAAAACAAGAGGCCCCTGGGCCTTATAGGTCACCTGAGCATTATTCAACAACTTTCCAGTGACTGAATTTGATCCATGTTTTAAGCCAGATGCTATAGCATTTACAATCTGGTCATCATAACTATACACTTAGCAGTTCCTTAGTTTGGTTACTTTATACCCATAGGCAGGGTAGGGGAACAAAAAATGCATTTCAACTAATCAGTAATATTCAGCAATAATCAGTAGTGCCGCTACCACACATGAACCCTTGACTCTTAGGCCTAGATCCACACATTGCACTATTTTTGGAAAGGCATACTTGCTTTTCAAAAATATTTGATTAATACCAAGGAGCACATTTCAAACAATTCATTCATTTTCAGTACATAAGTACAGCCCCCCCCCCCCCCACTATGGTACAACTGACCCTGGGGCCTTGAAATTTACAATTCTTGAAGATTAGGGATTGCTCATAACTATATAGGTAATTCATCTGCTTAAAACCTAGGAGCAAAGATGAAAATACTCAAAGATTTAATGTTTTTTCACTATACATGTATAATCAATACAGCCCCGCCCTAACACCAGAATCCCTGACCCTGGGGCCATAAAATTCACAATTTTGGCAGAGGCACTCTTGTTCATCATAACTATGTACTTAGTTAGTTTATTTAATACCCAGGAGTAAAGAAGAAGATTTTCAAAGAATTCATGTATTTCCTCTATATAATCAATAGAGCCCCACCCTGACACCAGAACCCCTAACCCTGGGGCCATAAAATTCACAATTTTGGTAGTGGCACTCTTGCTCATCATAACTATGTACTTAGTTAGTTTATATAAAACCTAGGAGCAGAGAAGAAGATTTTCAAAGAATTCATGTATTTTCACTATATAATCAATAGAGCCCCGCCCTAAAACCAGAACCCCTGACCCTGGGGCCATAAAATTCACAATTTTGGTAGAGGCACTCTTGCACATCATAACTATGTACTTAGTTAAATTATATAAAATCTAGGAGCAGAGAAGAAGATTTTCAAAGAATTCATGTATTTTCACTACATAATCAATAGAGCCCCGCCCTAACACCAGAACCCCTGACCCTGGGGCCATAAAATTCACAATTTTGGTAGAGGCACTCTTGCACATCATAACTATATACTTAGTTAGTTTATTTAATAACCAGGAGTAAAGAAGAAGATTTTCAAAGAATTCATGTATTTCCTCTATATAATCAATAGAGCCCCGCCCTGACACCAGAACCCCTGACCCTGGGGCCATAAAATTCAAAATTTTGGTAGAGGCACTCTTGCTCATCATAACTATGTATACTTAGTTAGTTTATTTAATACCCAGGAGCAGAGAAGAAGATTTTCAAAGAAATAATGCATTTTCACTATATACTTATTTAGCCCCGCCCTAGTACAAGAACCCCTGACCCCAGGGCCATGAATTTCACAATTTTGGTAAAGGACTCAATGCTGATTACAATCATGCAAACAGTTTGACTGCTTGATGTCCAGGAGTAAAGAAGAAGATTTTTGAAGATTGCATTAATTTTAGTGGTTTTGGCCCCACCCCCAGGCCCCAGGGGGGCAGGGATCATGAAATTCACAATTTTTGTTCCCCTTCATCCATAGATGCTTTGTGCCAAATTTGGTTGAAATTGGTTCAGTGGTTACAGAGAAGAAGCTGAAAATGTTCAAAAGTTTACGACCGATTGACGACGAACGACGAACGACGTACGACGGACGACGACGGACAAAAACAGATAGCAATAGGTCACCTGAGTGACTCAGGTGACCTAAAAATATTATATTGTAAAATTTTTATTAGAAAATTTTTTAACAATCATGTCAACTTTAAGAAATTATAAATATTCAAAGCCAAAAAAAAAAATAAGTGCCATATTCCTTAACAATCAAATTAGGCAACTACATGTACTGATCATGAAAGCTGAATTCTTGTACCTGAGTTACCATGACCTGAATGAATTCAAATTCAAATAAATAATTATGCACTAGACTTAATGTGCTTCATGCTGAAAAACTGTATTATATTATTACTGTAAGATATTTATTACAGTACCTTATAACCTAGAGGCCCATGGACCGTAATGCTCACCTTAATTTCCCTGTTCCTAATTTCTTCAGACAATGCATGGCTACATCCCACCACTCGGCCATGATTGGAACAAAGGAATGTAATCTACACTACCTCTACCCCACATTAGTCTTTAGAGTTTGAATTTTTTTCAGAGTCTTGATCATTACCAAAACATAATTTTAAAATGGTATTAAAATTTTCATAGCACTTAATTATTTATAATTACATAATTTTATTAGGTAAGTTTTTTGTGCTTTAAAAAAAATACTGATATGTAGAGACTTAATTTTGTGGATGAAGTACTGAATTGTTGTATGTTTAAAAAGTAACATTTCATGTGGAAGACATGAATTTGCGGACCTCTTCATACCTCCATCCCCCAACCCCTTAAAAAACAACAATTTAACCCCAACACAAAAGTTATGGCCCTATGTAGTGGATTCAAAAAAGTCCTTAACTTTCATCCCCCCTCCTTCCCCAAATTGACTATAGACTCTGCTTGAACAAGTAATATGACATAAAACAATGTACACATATCAATCTTTTCATTTTAATATATATACATGTAATAATTCAAATATGTCACATATCATTTCCAGAACTCCAAGGACTGGTAGATTATATGATACTCCTAAACTGTTCACAATAACCTTACCTGCCATTATTGTAGTGGAAGATATTAGAGCATGTCCGAGTGCTTCACAGTCTACATCTAGCAGCTCAGCGGCTGTAAGGAAATCATTTTAATGAAAGAATCAAAGTCTTCCAAAGGTCTTAATGTCCTAGATATTTCTATCTGGTGTGCTTGATATAAAGACATGCCATACACATTTATTTGAAAATTAAACTTCTAAATCTTACATAATTATATTGTATTGCTATGCAGAATGAGATAAATTGTATTATAAGATAGATGCGTGAATCAACTACTGAAAATTTCAATATAACATATCCAAAATTCATTCTGATTCGATGCCTTTTATACAAAACGCAGATATCTCTGGGAATTATCAAATAGCCTGCCCTAACAGCAAGTAAATTCAGGTTAAAGGTTAGAAATCATCAGAATACAAGAGTAGCTTCAGCCCAATACACTGTCTTACCATGCTCAACCAACTCTGTATCTACAATTTTCAGTTCCCCAGAATTTTTGTCTGTCTCTTGAAATTCTACTTGACTTAGGTGCAAGATGGCTGCCAGCATACAGGTCATGACCTTTCTGTCCTGTTACAATACAATGAATTTAAAAAATGTGAAAAAATAATCCCATATGTGAAACATAGGTAATCCGAGATTACAGAGCTCACCTCCACAAATGTTGTCTTTAAGTAAGGCAAAGTCACACAATTAAACCAACAAAAAGTGCACATCCCAAAATGAAAATATTTATGCAATTTTGATCTGATACTTTGGAATAGACCTATATAAAAACTTCAAACTAGTTCTTTTTCATGAAAATGTTATTAAAATCCAGCATCTGAAGCAAATTTGAAAGTTTTCATCCATTGATGCATCATTTGTGCAAGTTTGGTTTAGGGCAATGTTATATAAGCCTTATAGTTTTTTGGTAATAGATCTGCACCCTTAACTTTTACCTGGTCCATTATCTGAAAAATGTATGTCGAATTCAGCACCCGAAGCAAGTCCATTAGTGTGCATCCTAAGATGTATCGTCCATGCAAGTTTGCTCATTATAGGGCTCATAGTTACTTGGAAATGAAACCTGCATCAAAACTAACTTTTTCACTTATCCACAAAATGTAGGTCAGATTCAGCATCCGAAGCAAGCCTGGTAGTATGCATCCTTATATGTATCATCCATGCAAGTTTGATTACTAAAGAGCTCATAGTTACTTGGAAATGAATCCTGCACCAAAAATTTTACTTTGTTCATTCATCCAAAAATTGTAGGTCAGATTCAGCATCCGAAGCAAGCCTGGTAGTATGCATCCTAAGATGCATCATCCATGCAAGTTAAGTCATTATAGGGCTCATAGTATCATAGAAATCAAACCTGCATCAAAAACTTTAACCTGTTCACTCAACCTGAAAATGAAGGTCAGATTCAGCATCCGAAGCAAAGTGCATCCTTAGATGTATCATCCATGCAAGTTTGGTCAACATAGGGCTCATAGTTACATGGAAATGAAACCTGCACCTAAAACATTAACCTGTTCACTCAACCTGAAAATGTAGGTCAGATTCAGCATCCGAAGTAAGCCTGGTAGTATGCATTCTAAGATGTATCATCCATGCAAGTTTGGTCATTATTGGGCTCATAGTTACATGGAAATGAGACCTGCACCAAAAACTTTAACCTGTTCACTCAACCAGAAAATGTAGGTCAGATTCAGCATCCGAAGCAAGCCTGGTAGTATGCATCCTTAGATGTATCATTCATGTAAGTTTGGTCATTATGGTGCTCATAGTATCATTGAAATGAAACATGCATAAAAAATTTTAACCTTTTCACTCAACCAGAAAATGTAGGTCAGATTCAGCATCGAAGCAAGCCTGGTAATGTGCATCTTTAGATGTATCATCCATGCAAATTTGGTCAACAAAGGGCTTATAGTTACTTGGAAATGAGACCTGCAACAAAAACATTAACCTGTTCACTCAACCAGAAAATGTAGGTCAGATCCAGCATCCGAAGCAAGCCTGGTAGTGTAAATCCTTAGATGTATCACCCATGCAAGTTTGGTTAACATAGAGCTTATAGTTCCTTGGAAATGAGACCTACACCAAAAAACTGCACCAAAAATGTTAACCTGCTCCAAAAACATTAACCTGGTCATTCCTCTGCTGAAATTGCAGCATCTGAAACTTTGACTGGTACAATGAAACACACTAGAAGCATCTTCCATGCAAGTCTAATCAATATAGGACATAGAAGTACTTAAAAAGAAAACTGCTCCAAAAAACTTAACCTGGGACACCGACGCCGACACCGACGCCGACACTGAGGGTATTACATAAGCTCCCCCAACTTCGTTGAGGTGAGCTAAAAAGAGAAAATGTTTACAAGACTAACCCCCCCCCCCCCCCCCCCCCCCCCCCCCCCCCGCCAACACACACATACATTCTCCAGAGAAAAGCAAAAGATCATTATCATGAAATTGGAAAGTAAAAACTTATGCTGCAACTTATAGCTCATCAGAAGTCAAATCAACTTACAGCTTCTGTCATCCCTATCTGCCTCAGAGTTTCCATGTTTTCTTTATACTGTTTGGCATAATGTTGTGTCAATCGTAAATTGTCAATACTACCCAGTAGTATGCTAAAAATAGAGAGAATACATTGAACTTCTTTTTCTGCATGTGTTTAAAGTTTAATTAATATAACGCATGCTACATGCCTTAAAAATTAATCTAAAAATTAACACTTTATTTGCAGTCTCATTTTTACTTGTATGATTCAGGCTTCCGAAGGTACAGAGCTTGCTTTTCCTCCTGTGACATCCCAGCAAGCATTCCATAGAAAATATGGAAATTTCCCTCTCCACAATCCTGGCTTCTTCCTACCACTCTGCATTTCTCCAGCATGTAGTCTTTGATCATGGCTAGAAATATCAATTAAGATTACATGTAAATAATAATTAACATTATTTTACAAGGGATAAGAAAATCAAATTTATCTAAATTGTCCATCCAAAACATAATGTTATAAGCATATTTCACCATGACATACTTAATTAAGCTATTTGCAAGATTTATTGTACTCATCATTAATTTACTGGCCAGCATCATTTCTGTTTCTTTTAATTGCGTAATTCCACTAAGGTACCAGCCAGTACTTGTTCTTACCCCCAATCACTTGTCCATCACCTCTAAAACTCAACTCCAGAAATTTGGCAAATCTACTGGAATTGTCATTCATGATTGTCTTGGCATTCCCAAAGCTTTCCAGTAAGGGATTCACCTATTTAAAAGTAAATATACATGCATATCAATCAGTGGTACATTTTTGAAAGAATGATAGCTGAAATTTATGAAGTTCAGATATGCTTAACCTTCTTCATTTGCAAAGGACTTAGAGGACAGTCCTATATTCACCTTACCTGCATCTTTTGACAAAAAACTGCCAGGTTTATGCCTTAATATTTTTTTTTAAAATATGCATCCAATATAACACTTAAATGGTCAGAGCTGCATGTCCATAAAATTTTTTTTTTCTTAAATATTGCCTAGGATTTCCTGATCCAGGAAGGAGGGGGGGGGGCTTTTTCTTCAAAATTCAAGTTGAATATGTTGATATAAAACAAAATTTAAAGGCACAGTGAAGATATTATTGTCTGACTATTTGTCACATGCATCCCTTAATTGTCAACCAAAAACCTTATTTTTGCTTAGATTTGACACTAATGATGTGTTTTTGTGGTGCATATTATAGCAGGTTATGGACTTGTTTGATTAAATACTTTTGGTTGTAAAAATGCTTTCAGAGCTAGGGGACATATCAGTGAGGCATTATGCAATTTTTAACGAATAATAACTTAATTTAGTTTGGCCCCAATTGTTCAATGTGTTGTGAGATGTGTATTGTTTCATTATGTATATAATTAGTAACATTAAGTTTCTTGAACATTCCAGAGTGGTCAACATGTTTGGTCATTTTATCTAGAACATTCTTAAATTTTGTGTATGTCCAGATTGTTCCAGTAATATCATGTTTTAACAATTTCTAGAATATTCTAGATTTATATTACTGTATAAATACCCTGTCAATTCGATGCATAGATACTCTTGTCGTATAAGCATCATTGAGGTATTACTGGGATATAATTTCACTGGGACATTGTGTGCAGCAACGGACACTCTGATGTATGTATTTTTAGATTTTTGCTAAGTTTGTACTTAATGATTTGTATATTACTGTAAATAAATTATTGTTAAGTTTAAACTGTGTGATTGATCTTTGCTGGCATTTAGGGTTATTCTGACCCATAACAGAATTGGGGGCTCGTCCGGGATAAAGAATTTTGCACTTTTGCAGTTTATTGTCAGAATTTTGTTTATTGAACCGTTAAATTTGACTATAAGCCAGCAAATATCAACATGGTATTTTCGGTCACAGACTTTCTTAGTTCACCAAGTGTTCAGGTTTTTGATACGTTAAAAAAGGATGACTTGATCGCATTAGGTTTACATTTTGGGTTAGATGTTAAATCCTAGCTCTCAGAGAAAGCAAGACATTAGAATTAAGGTTGCAAACAAACTAGTAGAAGAAAACATCTTTGAAAAATATGATCTTCCAGAATATACAGTTAAATCAGAATTAGGCTCTTACAAAATGGCAGAATATCAGTTTCAATTAGAGTTAGAGAAAATGCGATTAGAAAGAGAAAAATTAGAAAGAGAAGAGCGAGAAAGAGAAAGAGAAGAACGAGAGCGTGAACGAAAATTTGAATTAGACAAATTAGAAAGAGAAGAACGAGAGCGTGAACGAAAATTTGAATTAGACAAATTAGAAAGACAAGAGCACTTTGAGTTAGAGAAATTACGATTACAGCACCAACCAGAACCGTCATTTGTCAAGAATGAATTTGACGCAGCAAAAAATATTAGGTTAGTTCCGAAATTTCAAGAAAAATCTGTAGACAAATATTTTCCCCAATTCGAAAAAGTCGCAGAGAATCTTAAATGGCCACAACACGTTTGGTCAACACTGTTACAAAGTGTACTGGTTGGCAAAGCAGCTGAGGTATACTCTGCACTAGGGGTAGCTGAAAGTTCAGACTATGAGAAGGTCAAAGCAGCAATATTAAAAGCATATGAATTAGTACCTGAAGCGTATAGACAAAAGTTCAGAAAGTATAGAAAGTTTGATAATCAAACATTTGTTGAATTTTCACGAGAGAAGGAAGATTTATTCGATCATTGGTTTAGATCTAAGAAACTTGATAAAACTTTTGCTAATTTGCGCCAAGTCATCCTGGTAGAAGAGTTTAAGGAATGTGTTCCTCAAGATTTGAAAACACATTTAGAAGATAAGAATGTGAAAACTCTTGAAGAGGCAGCAGTCATATCTGATACTTATGCTCTGTCTCATAAAAAGAATTTTGTTTCAAGATCTCAGACTAGCAGTAATTCTACCAATTCAGACACATATAAAAAGAGTGGTTCAGGGTCTCAGTCTTTCACAAGTTCCCAGTCTCCATCCCAAGGTGGTTTTAAGTCCGGTCCAGGACGTGTTGAAGGATCGTTTGGAATAGGGTCGCTTCCTACTTGTAGTTATTGTAAGAAAAAGGGTCATCTGATCAGTGAATGCTTTAAACTTAAGAGAAAAAATTATTTTGATAAAACTCAACCAAATGCTTGTGCGGCAGTTAGAGGTGATAGAGAAGCCTTAGTTTCGATTTGTTCTGACACTCCTGATGTCCAGGGTTCACAGTCCAGTTCTATTGATTCTATGGAGGATTATAAGCCCTTTATGTCTCAGGGATTTGTTTCACTCGGTGACTCTAGCGAAATAAAACCTGTCCAGATTTTGAGAGATACTGGTGCTGCACAGACGTTATTGTTAGAGGGTGTGCTTCCTTTGTCTGAGCAGACTTCTACTGGTGGGTCAGTTTTATTACAGGGTGTGGAGCTAGGCGTCATTGATGTTCCCCTGCATAGAATTAGTTTGAAGTCAGATTTAGTTACTGGACCTGTTATCGTAGGTGTTCGACCTACTCTTCCCGTTCCAGGCATTTCTTTGTTGCTAGGCAACGATTTAGCTGGTGGAAAAGTTGTACCAGATCCTATAGTTTGTGAGAAAATCACTCCAGATGTCACGTGCGATGATGAAGATGATGACATTTATCCAGCCTGTGCTGTTACTAGAGCGATGGCTAGAAGACGAGAAATGGAGGCAGACCATACTCAAGCCTTTGACGAGACGAATTCCTCTGTTGATATTGATTTGAATGACACTTTCTTATCTGACCTTAATGGCACTCAAACAAACATGGAACCACACAATACCAAGAAGCAAGAGAAGAAAGAACTGTTACCAAAATTTGGTGGTGAGGATGATGAGTTTCATCCACTAGTTAGCAAAGGCAAGGACATCCTCAGCCGAGAACGTTTACTCTCTGAACAACATAGAGACCCAGATATCATTCAACTTAGTAAGAGGGCACTTCCACCAGAAGAGGCTACTAAAGTTGGAGAATGCTTCTATATGAAAGATGGCATCCTTATGCGAAAATGGCGACCACCTGATGCTTCTCCAGATGAAGTGTGGCGTATTGTTCACCAGATAGTGGTACCAGCTGCTTATCGTCGAGATGTCATGAGTTTAGCTCACGATACACCTATGGCTGGTCATTTAGGTATCAATAAGACTTATAATAGGATTTTGAGTCATTTTTATTGGCCTAAGCTAAGAAAGGATGTTTCGAAGTTTTGCAAGTCATGCCACGTCTGTCAGATGGTAGGTAAACCAAATCAGAAGATACCATCTGCTCCTCTCCAACCCATTCCAGCTTTTGAAGAACCGTTTAATCGAGTGTTGGTGGATTGTGTAGGACCTTTGCCTAGGACCAGATCAGGAAACCAGCATTTACTTACCATTATGTGTACATCCACTCGATTTCCTGAAGCCATACCTCTAAGGAATATAAAGGCAAAGAGCATAGTTAAGGCCCTTACCAAGTTTTTCAGTTTTGTAGGAGCACCCAAGGCAATTCAGTCGGATCAAGGCTCAAATTTTATGTCGGGGTTGTTCCAGCAAGTCATGCATGAATTGGGTATAAGGCAATATAGATCAACTGCTTATCATCCTGAGTCCCAGGGAGCGCTAGAACGTTTTCATCAAACCCTAAAAACAATGCTGAAGACCTATTGTTACCAGTATGAAAAAGACTGGGATGAAGGGGTTCATCTTGTACTATTTGCTGCACGAGAGGCAGTCCAGGAGTCTCTTGGGTTTAGTCCTTTTGAATTGGTGTTCGGTCATACAGTTAGAGGTCCTTTAAAATTGTTGAAGGAAAAGTGGCTGACTGAGACTAGTGATCTTAATCTTTTAGATTATGTGTCTGATTTCAAAGAAAAACTTTACAATGCTTGTAAATTAGCACAAGAAAATTTGAAGAGTTCTCAGATGAAAATGAAAATGTGGTATGACAAAGATGCCAGAAATAGGGTGTTTAAGCCAGGTGATAAGGTTCTTGTATTTTTACCTATTCCTGGTCATCCTTTACAAGCCAGATTTTATGGCCCTTATGAAATTGAAAACAAGATCAGTGATGTAAACTATGTAGTTAAGACACCAGGTCGACGTAAAGAGAAACGGGTTTGTCACATTAACATGTTAAAAGAGTATTTTGAAAGGTGTGACCGAAATTCTGTAAAACCAGTTTCCACTTTAGCCAATGCTAAGACTGTTCAAAATTGTATTGAAAGTGATACGAGTAAAGAAATGAATGAGAAAGAGTGTAATCAGAGTGTCCGCTTGAAAAACTCAGAAATTTTGGCTGATTTTGATGCCAAACTTGGACATTTGAACATTCACCAAAAAGAACAAGTTAAAAACTTGATGAATGAGTATCATCAAATCTTTTCGGATGTTCCAAAGAAAACAAATGCAGCTTGTCATGATGTTATAGTTGGCGACGCTCTGCCCATCAAACAACATCCGTACCGTCTCAATCCAATAAAATTGCAGTACCTAAGAAGGGAAGTGCAGTACATGTTTGACAATGACATTGTTGAACCTAGTAAAAGTGATTGGAGCTCACCGTGTATTCTTGTACCAAAACAGGACGGTTCCTTCCGATTATGTACAGACTTTAGAAAGGTGAATTCTGTTACCAAAACTGATTCATATCCAATACCTAGAATCGATGACTGTATTGACAACATTGGAAACGCGAAATTTGTCAGTAAATTTGACCTTTTGAAAGGCTACTGGCAAGTGCCTTTAACAGAAAGAGCAAAAGAAATATCTGCTTTTGCTACACCAGATGGACTTTACCAGTATAAAGTAATGCCTTTTGGCATGAAAAACGCACCGGCTACATTCCAAAGGATGATTCACTCCCTCCTTCAAGACCTCGAGGGATGCGAGGCCTACATTGATGATGTCATCATATACAGCAACACATGGGACGAACATCTCCGAATCATGCGTGCTTTATTTGACATTTTAGCTAAAGCAAATTTAACTGTGAACCTTGAGAAGAGCGAATTTTGTCATGCTTATGTAGAGTATTTAGGTCATAAAGTAGGTCAAGGTTATGTTACACCCATAATGGCTAAAGTGGAAGCTATTGCAAAGTTCCCGATTCCTACAAACAAGAAAGAATTAATGAGGTTTTTGGGCATGGCTGGGTTTTACAGAAAATTTTGTCCAAATTTTTCCTCAGTTGTTAGTCCACTTACAAATCTTTTACAAAAGAGGGTTAACTTTGAATGGACAAAGGACTGTGAAAAATCGTTTCATAAAATCAAATCTGTCCTTATGAGCAATCCAGTTCTGTCAACTCCAGATTTTTCTAAGCAATTTAAGCTTACTGTTGATGCTAGTGATGTTGGAATCGGGGCAGCTTTGTTTCAAGAACATAGTGATAAGGTAGATAGAGTTGTTTCTTATTTTTCAAAGAAACTTACAAAATGTCAACAAAAGTATTCCACTATTGAAAAGGAATGCCTTGCTTTGTTGTTAGCCTTACAGCATTTTGATGTTTATCTGAATGTTACTTTGCATCCAATTCTTGTATATACGGATCACAACCCCCTGACATTTTTGCATAAATTGTCAAACAAGAATCAAAGACTGACTAGATGGAGTTTGTTGTTACAAGAATACAACATAATAATTAAGCATATCAAAGGCAAAGACAATGTTATTGCAGATGCCTTGTCCAGAGTATCATAAACAAATTAGATTTTGTATTAATGTACAAAACTTTTATTTTAATAATATAAGTTTTCATTGACATTCAAACTTTTTAAGGGGGGAGGTGTTGTGAGATGTGTATTGTTTCATTATGTATATAATTAGTAACATTAAGTTTCTTGAACATTCCAGAGTGGTCAACATGTTTGGTCATTTTATCTAGAACATTCTTAAATTTTGTGTATGTCCAGATTGTTCCAGTAATATCATGTTTTAACAATTTCTAGAATATTCTAGATTTATATTACTGTATAAATACCCTGTCAATTCGATGCATAGATACTCTTGTCGTATAAGCATCATTGAGGTATTACTGGGATATAATTTCACTGGGACATTGTGTGCAGCAACGGACACTCTGATGTATGTATTTTTAGATTTTTGCTAAGTTTGTACTTAATGATTTGTATATTACTGTAAATAAATTATTGTTAAGTTTAAACTGTGTGATTGATCTTTGCTGGCATTTAGGGTTATTCTGACCCATAACAGAATGTTGACATCTTGTAGAATTCTTACCAATGTACCTTGATAATTCTGTCACTATCGTGTATATGTGTACCTTGATAATTCTGTCATGCAGGTCGCCGGACTCCTCTGGACACATGTGCATGAAGTGCTGCACCATATACTTTGTACTCTCGGTTTTTCCTGAACCAGATTCACCACAGACCAGAATAATTTGGTTTGTCTGGTTCTGACGCATCCTGCTATAGGCCCTTGCTGCCACTTGAAAGACATGTGGAGGCAAATTTGCCTTGAAGTCTCTCCATCCATATTCTTCATGATTCTACAACATAAAAATGTAGGTATATTAACTGAATTTACTCAGACAAACTTTTTGGTATAAAAACAATGACATACATGTACATCTACATAAAATTTGTCAAGTTAATTTTGTTAATGAAAAAGAGTTTGATAAAAAAAAATTAACAAAAAAAATTTAGAAAAGAAATGTTTCTCTCCTTAAACTTAATTAGTTACCAATTAATAAATTAAATTAATCTATATAATAAATTTACTAACAAAATTTTAAACCAACAGCTTTTCAGTGTTGCCCTCAAACATAGGACAGATTTAGTCTAGGATCTGAATTCAACTGCTCTTTTCATCTATACTAGATTAAAATCTGCAACAGAAATCCAATTTTCCCTACTTCAAGACATCTTAAATATAGCATAGTTCACTAACAGTTTGATATGATGTAGGTACAAGTTAATGTCTACTGCAGTCCAAACCATCAATGAAATAGTATAAATGTTATTGTTATCCATTGGTAAATTACCAGCTAGTATCCCTCAATGAACGGTTTAAATGAAAGATTACAGTGCACTTGATTGTATCCATGATTGATATCATTTGAGGATACGAAAAGACATAATTAATATATCATCTAGCAAAATGCCACTTTTCTACACTTTTTTAAGCATGGCTATTAGCATGATACATCATAATTTTCATTTCTACATGTGGCGTGTTGCATGGTTCAACATACATTTGTTGAACAAGTTTCGGAAGATATTTTCCAGCTCTTTCTAATTCTAAATATTAACACTTTAGGCTACAAAAACATAATCCATCGATTAATCTCCAGATATTGTAATTAAAAAGAACATTTTAACTGTCATTTTAAAGTAAAGGTGTAATGATCAGTGATAATAAAATAGTTGAAAATGATGCAACATCTCAAGACCTTTTTTTTAGTTGCTGACGGAAATTCTGTACGTTTTATTGAATTAAAAAAAATAGACTAAAGGGGTGGCCAGGTGAAAACTAGTGGACGATAAAACAATAAGCAAGGAATGCACTGATCTCTGCGAGATCTCGTTGAGATTACTCGATCTGACATGAACTTCATCATGTTTATCACTACCACTACCAGGCACATGGAAACCATGATGGTGGCCCTTAGCGTATATTTATCTCATTAGATATATATGTACTCACAACCTTCTGGGTTTTCTTTTAATTAAAACTGCGCTTTGTTCTCTTTCAAAAAGTTAACTGCATACTTACACTGACCCAAAATTAACTTCATTTCTTTTTCGACTTAAAGTTAACACGCTCGACCAGAAGAAAAAGTTATGACGATTTCTCACCTCCAACACTAAAGATCTGATAAATGGGAAGTAACTCATTACCTTTTTGTCGTACAACGGTAGATCCTTGTAAGGGTTGACGGCTATCAAAATATCACCAACATTGGTCTAAAATAAAAAAGAGAACTCCTATTTTATACATTGTACAGAAAAGAACCTTTTCAAATGCATATTGTATAGGCCCTATATAAAGCGTGTAAGGGGAAAATGATTACATGGCCATTTCATTGGCATCGGAAGCAAATTGAAAGTGGGGGAGACCAAAAAAAAAAACCTGAAAAAAAAACTGGACAGGCAAAAAATAAAAAGAACACTTGAAAACACTTTCTATATACCCGAAAATCTTATTTCGTGGTACGCGTGGTTGAAGGGTTAATTAACATAGTTAAGACTGAACTTCTTCCAGTACTTTTTTTTTTTTTCAAACGCTACGTACCAACTTACTGCATGCTTACACTGCAATATACCTATTGGACACTGTTGAAAGTGGGGAGGCTTAACCTACGTCCCAATGCTGAATTATGCGCCTATGTCCTGTTTATCTTTACAAAAAAAGTGGGAGGGCTAAGTCCCCCTACCCCCCCCCCCCCCGGTCCCGACGCACATGATTTGACAATTATCAGATCAACTGGAAAGATGGAGGGATAAAAATTAATTGGCCTAGCTATTAAATAGTTATTGTCTTTTCCCTAAAACTTTTAAAAGTGGGAGAAAGTCTAAATTGACCTTAGGACCTATGAATTTACCATTATACAGACTTTTGGTGCAAAGTGCTTGCAGTCAAATAACATCGAGGGGAGGGGACATCCCCCCCCCCTTCATTTTCCACACAGCTTTTACATATGTAACTATTGAAAATGCATATTTAAAGGCTCGCTGTCCCTTCACTTTTTTGCACCATAATCAATTAAAAAAGGTAATGTAGTAATATATGTAAAACATTTGGTACTGAAAGAGCTAGGTTCGCCTACCATCCAACCCCCCAAGGCCGAGCACACACATTGCCCCCCTTTTTTTTTTTATTGCAATTTTTTCCGGTAAGGTTTTTTTTTCTCTGGCTACCACCACCCTCCCCCACAGCCCCATTTTCAAAAACGATGCTACGTCACTGCAATGAAGAGTGCAAAGCTACGGTGTTTATATAATCGGTAATATATTAAAATATATTTTAAAACACACATGGGGTGCTTGGCCTTTCTTCTGATCTCCACGTATCTTCCCAATCTTTTTTCTCATTTATCTCCCCCCCCCCCCCCCCGCGTCCCTTCCTTTGTACTCTCTTCGTGCATGAAATCACGATTTACTTAATTTACGACCTCAATCATTTCATGTACTTATGTCTCATACAGAAAATATACATGTTGTAGAAGAAAAACGTACACTGAACAGTAGATTGAACATGTGTTCATTATTTATACAAGTCGTGACATACACGGCAAAGTCAAATATCCGTTTAACTTTAAGAGTGGCAAGGCATGTAGTCTATTGATCGAATGCTATAATATTCTGAAATTAATTGGATATGGGCCAATATACATATATATATATTACTTCCTAGTTCCACCAGGTCTTAAATAATTCTGGAATTGGGATGTTCTGGATTATTTTGATTTCATAAAAAATTCAGGTCATTATTTTCTGAAACGTGAGAAAAGATTAGCATTTTATTTTGAATTTCTTCTTCGGACAATACTTTTTTAAGTAAATGTACTATTAGGAAATCAAAGAAATATTTTTAAACCGATATGTGTATATAGAATATAATTTTATCATAGTCAAGATCTTTAAAAAATGACACAAAAACTTAAATTCCTATTCAGGATTTCTACAATTCACTAATGAGATTTTTTTTTTTACAAAAAGTTTATTATCTTAGCCTTTGAAAACAGACACCTTACACCTCGATCCTTTCATGTGCTTTTAAAAGCTACACAAGTGTATTTAAATATCAAGTACACGCGTACGCAAACTACGTTTTATTTGCGTAACCTTTTTAATTGGTTTCCCTTTTCCCAGATATACCCGGTAATCAATTGTTTCTGACTGGGTAGATCTAAATTTAAAAAATATAATCGGAATTAATATTTTGCAATTTCTAACAATGAAGGATATTTTTACTTCCTGGTTTGGCCATTAATTCTGGTTACTGAACTAAGTAACTGCAAAGAACCTCGAGATCTTGAGAATGTTTAAATCTCACATTTCTCTTTGTTCGAAATCAGAGGATCTGAATATATTAATATTTTTATTAATACAATGTTTTATTACAAATGCATGCATTTCAACCTTTTTGGCACTGTATCATTTTACATTATCATGCACTTGATGCATGAAATTGAAATTGACATTTTCAAGCACTGCATGACTATCTATTTTAAACATTAATGTTGCCAAATAAAAATTGTACAATCACGTGTGGCGATTTTTATTTGTTTATCAAAAACAAAATGAATATGCTGTAATTGACTGATTTAATAGATCTTGTAATTGCAGTCTAGTATTTGTCTAAAAGAGATAAACAACAATAACTCTCATGCACATGCATATGGTCATCACTAGCAAATCATGCAGGAATATACAATGTACTAGTACCGCGCCGGGTATATCAAACGCCACAAGTTTTAATGAGTTTGTGTGTACATACTTATTTATACCCTTAACGGAATTTTTTAAGCATCAGGTTATAAACAAATATGGTATTTCCGTAAATTATTGAAATGTCATGTTAAAGATATTTCCTTTATTATATATTAAGTTGCTTTTTAAAAATCATATATTGTTCCATTTGTGTTTTTTTTATTTATTTTTTTTTTCGTATTAAGTCTAGAGTTCAAGATATTTATTAGAACCTGTAATAATATTACAAAAAGATGTCTCTACTTTATATAGATAAGCATTGATTGATTTATAAATTTCTTCTAACTTATTCAAAGCAATGCAATTCATATCGACTTACAAAATATCAAGAGAGAGAGAGAGAGAGAGAGAGAGAGAGAGAGAGATAGAACCATTCTAAAATGAAAATACTAGAATAACTTTCTTTGTGGTATTACTTACGTAAATTTTATCCTGTTCATATCTTCTTTTAACAGCCTGTAAAATTGACACCTCTGTGAGATCATCAAGCTGTGACAAGTCACAATCCTCCATTATCCCGACCCCCAGGGATAATTTCAACCTAATTTTCAAAACTCGAAAAACACGATGACGTCAAAATACGCACCTTCGAAATCGAAACAACGGCGAATCACAATGATAAAGGAATGGGCTCTTAATTTTTAAAAATCAGAAATTCTTTTTCAAATACTCCAACACAGAAAAGATATTTACAAAGCCATCCTAATTATTTAAAGAAGTCTACATAAAGTATGCAGATATTCTATAAGTCCATTTTGGTAAACATCCAAACACGACCTCGAAATTTTGGCCTGCGAACTATCTCTCGCGACGATTCGCTCTGATGGGCTCTTTTTATTCGGGTATATGCTATTGATAGTCCAGCAAACCTGCAATGTTTGAAGAATGCCTACAGTTGTTACCTATTGGATTACATTGATAATTTAAACCTTGCAGTTTGCAGTTAAGCAAACCTCGAAACAGGAAGAAAAAAAGATTTAAAGAGAAGATACGGGTGACTGCGTCTTTTCTTTCAGCTATATTTGTCTTTAAGTATATTTTTCAACAGTACAGCACGCACTATACTACGGGTATTTCCCAAATTAAAAGTAAGAGAGACCACGGGACACTCCCATTTACTCTTCCTAATCCTCAACTTCACTATGAAATTATTCTGTGCAAGGTTCTTTCCATAGAATTTAATAAAGGAATCCAGGAATGTAGACGCGGAAGGGGAAGGGGGTGGTCTCCTTAATAATTTTGCCGATATATTATTTTTCGACTGTGATCTCTCCATAATAACATCGGTTGCCCTTTTTTCTGTGGTTGTCAAAAAAAAAATTGCACAATAGTGCCCTCATCCTAATTGACAATAAGATAAAAGTCAAAAAACATTTTTATAATGTGTGCAAGGTTAATTGGGTCATTCTTATTTCCCCTACTAAAATATTTCCACAGGTACTTGTGGACAAGACCCCCCCCCCCCCCACGATATTCAACCCCGGTTATTTCACAAATTATATTTATTACACTTGATCATCATGTGTACAATTGGAAAAAATCGTCAAAACCCCAAAATAATCGCTCCACAAAAAAAATACCCCACTTTATACATTAAGAACATGCTAGACCTGTAAAGTTTTTCGTAGATCAAATGTTTGAAAAAGATAATTACATGATATTTAGACGTTGGAATTTATCTTTCACAAGCTTCTTTGTGAAACTCTTGGCACATTTAAGAAATTCATTCCCAACAGTCAAGTTTTGGTATGGTCGACGAAGCTTGATAAATACGTGTAGCTACGTTTATCTTAAATAATTAATCATTTCGTCTTAATTATGCACCCAATGCCTGCATGGGAACACTCTGCTTGATTTAACAACCTAAAATTCTGTGAAGTTTTTTTCTTTATGCAATGTATTGAGGAGAAAATTGAAATATTCGATTTTAAGATCATGCACACAAAGAACGCATTTTAATATGCGTTTTCAAAAGCTTCTGTGTCATATTTCTTTCAAAGGCAAGTTAAAAACTGCTGATGGGTCGTTTTCGAGTCAAGAAACAAGATAATATAGATATTATAATGACCTAAGCTATAATTGCTCTTCCGTTCACCCTTCCTCAATTGCATGTAAAAAGAATATCAAACATTAGTTTTTATCATATTATAAAGTTCAACTTGAGCAGAAGATCGAGTTTAAATTCCTTCCCTAGTGGGAAAAAACTTAAGACAATCCATTATCTTTTACCAGAGAATAATTTAAAGAAAAAGTATTTTTGTCGAACATGCCAATTAAAACAACCTTCAAACATAGTTCACAAAATTTATTTTTAGACACTCGAAGCTATAAAAATTTTAATTTTTTTTTCTTCAAATTTTGTTGTTTTTTTTTTCAGTTTTGTCAGAACCTCTTTTTCATACTTTTTCAACAAGATGTATTTGTGAAACACTGATCAAATGTCCCCATATAGCAGCTTTTTGTAAAGATTTGTGAAGTCTCTCAAATGCAAGTCAAACTCCAAGATCAAGGTCAACAGATCAAATTTGTTGTTACCAAAGGAAAGGAAAGGTTACATGAGTTAAATTTTTTAAGTGGATCAAACTGCCATGACACGGTAGAAAATTCCGCGTAATGGTAGCCAAGGATAGACTGTCGTAAAAAAAACTCTTTTAAAAATAAAAGTCCTAACAGCAACTCCTCAAAAGTTATTGCAAAGGTTTAAGTTTTTCAAAAGTAGGCCAAACTCCAATGTCAAAGGCAAAAGGTCAATTTTTAGAATTCAAACGAAGAACTTTTCACAAGAAATACACTTGTGAAATGTAAAAGTCCTGGTGCTAATTGATCAAAAGTTATGACGAAGATTAAAGTGTTTAAAATTAGGTCAAACTGTAAAGTCAAGGTGAAAAGGTCACAAATATTTATACTACAATTACTTGTAATAAAAACTCTATTAGCATCAACTTTTCAAAAAGTTATCGCTAACGTGAAAGTTTGGATTTTTTTTTTTTTTTTTTTTTTTTTTGCAAAAGTTGGTCAAACTCCAAGGTCACGGTCAAGAGTTCATTTATGTAGGTACCCATAAAATTACAGGTCTTGACACAAAAAGAAACATATGAAGATAACGAACTCATTTAAGAACAAAAGTCCATAAAACAATACAAAATAGGAGCAGAGCAAACACGGACCTCCAAAACATCAGAGGTGGGATCAGGTGCATACCATGGAGGAGTGAGCATTCCCTGCCGACCGGTCACACCTGCCGTGCGCTCCTTGTCATGTTCGGGAAAAAACGGGAAAATTCCTCGACAATTCAGTGTGTAAATAATGGCCTAACAATATTAGGATAAAAAACGTCAGTCAGCATTTGACCCAATGATACATTGTATTTCCAGACAAGGTCATTGTATCAACCATAGAACTTACAAAATGATGACTTTAAACGAGATGTTGAAATTCTTGTTTCATCAACTTGTTTGTCAATAATTTACCTCGTTTCAGAAATTGTTCATATGTAGAGCATGCTCTTGCGTATCGAAATACACTTGTGAAAAATTAAAGCCAAGACTTCTGCCAATGAAAGATATGGACAATGTTATTAATGTTTTTTTCGGACAATCAGACAGACAGCTAGACAGACAGACGAACAGGGCAAATACTACATATATATACCCGCGAATCCATAATGAGAAAAATTATATTACATTCTTAAGTAATTTTAAATTTATTAATTTCCAGTTGTGTTTCAAATTGACGAAAACAAACTTTATGTCGTTTTCATAAGCTTGTAAAAGCTATGAAACAAATGATTATACTTAACCAGTAGTGTATCTAATTGATACCAATTTGATTTTGTATAATATATTTTTTATTAGATATTATATAATTATTTCTCTTTTCATATACATTAACCTATTATATAAATTATATTTCTCTTTTCATATAGATTTACATCTCTCCTTTTCACAAACTTACTTTTTACAGACTTAACTTTAAAATTTATACCTGGACAAATTTCTCGTTTACGTTTGAACAGATATTTTTCTCTACTAATATTTCAAATAAGTGCAAAACGGGAACACACAGACAAGGCGGGCTGCCTATAGAGCATTCATAACGTTTGAAATTCGAGTTAAGCACATCTTCCCAAGTCAAGATTTTCTGATCCGCTCCGCTCCACATAAACCCTTGACCGAATAGGCTAAGTTTGACGGGGTTAGAAATGCGTTCTCTGATTGGCCTCATGAAAGTCTTCATGAACCAATCAAAATCATTGTTTTATTTAAACTTAAACTTAATTTGTAAACAGAAAAACAAGCCAGTTTTAGTCCCAAGGATAACGTCATTATCATTAAATAGCCCAGATAAAGGTTTGACTCAGATTTTTAGTTAATTTTTATCGAATTTATTACAAACTTCCAATATTATCTCGAATTCTCTGTTGAATTCGTTTACTCCGATTGGCCAATAGCAGAGGTCAGTAGAGTATCTCACTAGATGGCGTGACAGTAAACCCCGTCAAACTCTTGACTTGGGAAGATGCCTCAAACGAAGTACACTCGCACTAATCTGGAATTTTGTGGGAAATTTTTGTTAACACTTTGTCCTAAAAAATAATCATCAAAAATTGAGGAATTTTTTCCCTCCCTTTTTAGGGAGTATTCATAACTGAGATAGATGTATATGAAAGAAATTCGTGAACTTCGTTGTCTTGTTTTGAATGAAAATATTTGAAACAATTCCATAATTTGTAAAAGCTATGAAACACATGATTGCACTTCACAAATATTTATTTGATACGAGTATTTAATTGAAATAATTTTGATTCTGTATAATATATTTTTATTCCTAATTTTAATTCATTGATTATTTTTTTCAATTGGTTGTGAAAAATTGTAGACATCCTTTCTTCAGTGTATAGCATATGTCATAAATTTTCCAAGCTGATGAAAATTTGAAACATGAGTGATTCATGCCTTCCTTTTTTTCAAGGTTGAGGCTCCAAATTGTTTAATAAACAGGTGTTCTATGCTTAACTCATCTTCCCAAGTCAAGAGTTTCTGATCCGTTCCACTCCACATAAACCCTTGACCGAATAGGCTAAGTTTGACGGGGTTTACTGTCACGCCATCTAGTGAGATACTCTACTGACCTCTGCTATTGGCCAATCGGAGTAAACGAATTCAACAGAGAATTCGAGATAATATTGGAAGTTTGTAATAAATTCGATAAAAATTAACTAAAAATCTGAGTCAAACCTTTATCTGGGCTATTTAACGATAATGACGTTATCCTTGGGACTAAAACTGGCTTGTTTTTCTGTTTACAATTTAGTTTAAGTTTAAATAAAACAATGATTTTGATTGGTTCATGAAGACTTTCATGAGGCCAATCAGAGAACGCATTTCTAACCCCGCCAAACTTAGCCTATTCGGTCAAGGGTTTATGTGGAGCGGAGCGGATCAGAAACTCTTGACTTGGGAAGATGCGTTTGAGGACATGGGATCGATACTTTAACGCGTAATAACCTTGAAAACTAAAACAATACTAAGAAGGAACACGCGACTATTCATTTTCAAATTCTTGCTGTCAAAGATATTTATCCTACCGAAGAAAGATTTAAAAGTGTGGAAATTTGAATATGTTCCCCTTGTCTTTTAGTAGGGATTTTATCCTTTATCGTCATAGTGCTATTTTGCTACATTGGCAAAACTACATGTGTTACAGATTTAATTTCAATCTTTTTTACGATAAAAATGTGTAAAAATTGTCATAAGCACCCTTTTCTCGTGGGCGCAATGACATCTTACCACAGGTACTTGTGGAA